AGGACCGCCCCGCGCACCTGCTGAGAATTTGGAGGGAGCATCCGGACTAGGGGAAGAGGACGGAAGTTCCTGGCGAGCGGGCCCCTGGCCTCTCTCCCTCCTCACCTCCGGGCTGGGGCCGTGTCCGCGGCCGGAGAGCGCGGTCCGCGCCGGGTCTGACCGGCCTCCGCGCTGGGCGGGACAGTGGCAGCAACGGCGATTGCGGCGCCCGCGCGCGGCCAGCTCCGTCCGGCTGCGCGCCGCCCGCAGCTCAGGGGCGGGGATCGCTCGGGGCGGCGAGGGGGAAGAAAGAGCAGGGCCGGCTCGGGGGGAGGGGCCCGTCTGGCCTAGGAAGGGCCGCCCCCGAGGCCCCAGAGAGGGACCGGGTGAGGGAACCAGGGGCTCAGCCCCCTTTCCCCCCCCTCAGGTCGCCTTCCCGAGAGGAACGAGCACGTACACTGGCTTTTGAGGACTCTAGAAGGAAGCCGATGGGGGAGGGGCTTGATGGTGGGAAGTCCCACAGGACTGGGGTGGGGGTGCACAACTCTGGTCTCACTTCTTCCCTGGCTCAGGCTTCTGCCGGGTGTGGGCAAGAGTTTCCGACTGGTCCCTGTGTGCCTCACCGTCCTCCTCTGAACCTGCAGAGAGCCTGGACTCTCTCTGGAAGGCAGGATTATTGTCAGGGAACAATAAGGAAATGATCCGGAGGCTGGGATGCAAATGTGTCCGGAGGGGCCTCCCAATGGGGAGGGGGAAATGATGAAGTGAATTTTTCAGTCACCCACCCAGCCCAGATCTCTTCCAGGGTGGAGGATCCCTCAAGGGCGTGCAATTCTGCACTACCTTCCTGGGTGGCTGCCCACAGAGTCCCTTAGCAAACAAATCCTCTTCTCACCACCCCTAGCTGAGGAAGGCTCCAAACTCTCTCACTCCAGGACAGTTTCCTCCCTACTAGCTAGCCAGCATACTTCCTCTAAGACAGACTCAAGCCAAACTGGGTCACACCATGGCCTGCTGAGGGAAGTTAAGCACCAGAAACAACTTTCAGGCTGTGAGGATGGAAACTAACAATAGAATAAGTAACAAAAGAAAGCCCTGTACAGCTGTCGTCACCCGCCTCCTGGCCTCCCAGCTGCCTGATCACGTTAAACTATCTTGCAAGGCAAGAGTCTGGATGATTGGACAGGAGGCATTGCAAGAATTCAAATCCACAAATATTTATTGAGCACTTACTGAGTACTGGGCTTTGGGGGTAGGTCTGCTTCCATAGGGAACCAAGGTCTTATTATTTTAAGGTAGGTCCTGAGTCTGGAAGACACACAGTCTAGATTCAAATCTCACCTTTGGTCTAAATTGTCGCTTTTCTCTACGTTAAGCATTGTTCCTCAGTAGACCATGATGTTCCCATTTGCAGGGGTGGGTTGGGGTAGGGTGAGTGTTAGTTCTCCTCCCCGCTGAGGCCAGAGGTGAAAGGAGAGGTCTTTGGGAGGAACCCCAGGAGAGGGGAGAGGCAATGACAGCATTTCTGCTAGACACAGGGCATCCTTCCAGAAAGACTTTTCTACCAGGACGGGGGAGGTGTGAGGGCTCACATGCACAGCCCCCACTGTGACTTCTGCCCACTGGGTAGGCTGCGGCCAGTGCTGGTGCCAGGACTGTCCTACTCCAAAAGAAAACATTTTGATGGATACAGCTGCTGCCAGGACTCGGGGCCTCACTTTTGGGGGGCTAACTTCTCCCTCCTCTCCGGGTGGTCCACTCTGGAGGCCTCCCCAGCATCCGGCGGGTGTCGCTGGCTGAGAATAAACAGCAGACAGCCCAGCAAAGCCTCTCGCATGTCCTGGGAGCCCAGGCGGCGGGCCAATCGGCGCAGCAGGGGCAGGAGGTACTGGCGGGCCAGGCGGGCAGCGGGTAGCAGCAGGCGGGACAGCAGCCCTCGCAGCAGCAGCGGGAGCAGTGGCGCGGGCATGGCAGGGTCAGTAGGTCAGTGCTTCAGTGCCTGCGAAGGCAACCCAGGCTTTAGGCTCATGCTTCCTGCTTCTGCCTCAGCTGGTAAAGTCGTGAGCAGGAGTCTCCCTCCCTCCAGTTTACGCCTTCCTGCTCTCCAGACCTCAGGTCAAAATGAAGCCCTTTCTCTTGGCAAGGTGGCTGGGGCCAGGGTTCTCACCATCGCACAGATGGGGAGACTGAGCCAAGGTAAGAGTAAAGCAGAAGCTAGGACTCCCAGCTTGCCACCCACAACTTCCAGGGGCTGCCGCTGTTCCCTGGACACTCCTTTCCTCGAATCACCCCCTCCTCTTGCACACCCTCCATCCACCTGGGACGCCCCAGTCCTTCTCCCTCAATCTAGCAGGAGTTCTTCCCTAAGCAATTCTAATTTTGGGGGAGCGCTCCTGATCCATCCCGTCCTGACACTCTCTACCCCTCCAGTCCCCTACCCCCACCAATCAGTGGCAGCTCTCACCAGTCAGAACTGCTGCTCAGAATCAATCTCTGGCTGAAATTGCTCACAGTGGAGCCAGCATCACTGGATACACTCGGGGTGGGGGGGGGAGCCCCACCCAGTTCAGCCCCACCAATTACCACTTGCCTGGGGCAAGTGGGCGGGGGGGCGGGGGGGGCAACAATGAAGAGACAGCTGTGTTCTGGCACCTGGTGTACTGAGGGGAGGGGACAGCTGGGCTGGCCTCTTCTTCCAGTCTAGGAGAAGGGAGGAGGGAACATATGCAGGATTTCCCTTGCTAGGAACAGACTTCAGAGTAGGAACCCAGGCTGCCCTTTCTCATTGTGTTACTTAAGCATGTTGACTCTTCTAGACTCCAGCCACCTCCTCTGCAATCCCAGGAAGTGGAAGGAGTAAATGGAACAGGGCAATGTATGAGACCCACTTGCCCAAACTGCAGAAGCAGTAAGTCTGCAGCCTAGACACACATCCGAACACCAGTCGTGTTCAAAATGACAGAGACAGGAGACTAGGACACAGGCAGGACCCCGTGGGCTCTCTTCTGAGGGTAGAGAAGTAAAGGCACAATCTGCCTCACAGCTGGATACACATGGGTGGCACTTCCACTCAGGGACAGAAAGAAGGATGCCCACTCTAGCACCCTCTTTTCAAACCCCAATGGCCCTTCACTCAGATGACATGAAATTCCATGAGGTAGCCAGGTATATCTGGATGGGTTTTAGCCTGAGGTTTTTTGTTTTGTTTTGTTTTTTTGAGTTGGAGTCTCACTCTGTCACCCAGACTGGAATGCAGTGGCCGCTCCTGGCCACCACAGCCTTGGCCTGCTGAGCTCCGGCGATCCTTCCGCCTCAGCCTTCCAAGTAGCTGGAACTACAGGCGCACGCTACCACACCCGGCTGATTTTTTATTTATTGTAGAGATGAGGTCTCGCCAAGTAGCCCAGGCGGGTCTTCGAACCCGCGGGCTCAGGCAATCCACTCACCTCAGCCTCCCAAAGGCGCGGGATTACAGGCTGAGCCACCGAGCCCAGCTTGGCTTTTTACTTTTTTTTTTTGGAGTTGAAGTCTCACTCTGTCTCCCAGGCTAGAGTGCAGCGGTACACTCACAGCCACCTCAGCGTCGACCTGCTGGGCTCCGGTGATCCTTCCGCCTCAGCCTTCCAAGTAGTCAGAACTACACACGTGCTACCATGCCCGGCTAATTTTTTTATTTATTGCAGGGACGATGTCTCGCCAAGATGCCCGGGCTGGTGTCAAACCTGCGGGCTCAGGCAATCCACTCGCCTCGGCCTCTCAAAGTACTGGGATTATAGGCTGAGCCATTGAGCCCGGCCTACATCTTTATTTATTTATTTATTTTCCTTTGAATCAATGTCTCACTCTGTCGCCCAGGTGGGAGTGCAGTGGCATGATCACGGCTCACCAGAGCCTCGAACTCCTGGCTTCTACCTCAGTCCTTATTAGCTGGGATTACAGGCGTGCACCACCACCACACCTGGCTGATTTTCTGTACAGACAAGGTCTCACTATGTTGCCTAGGCTGGTCTCAAGCTCCTGAGCTCAAACAATCCTCCCGCCTTAGTCTCTAAAAGTGCAGGGATTATTGGAGAGAGCCACCATGTCCAGTCTATTTTTTTCTTTTTAATACTTCATTCTCTTACTTCATGAAACGGGTATAAGTCCTGCCTTGCTGGACTCATGAGATAATGATCACAAAGTGTTTTGTAAACTTCACAGTTTGGGAATATAATCACTTATCATCATGTCTAGCACTAGTTGCCATTAAAATCATCATCATCTTCATCAAAGACCTTAAAGAAAGAAAACATACCAGGTCAAAAAGGAGACAGGGAAGAGGAGAAAGAATATAGATTTACAGGCAGAATCTTCCTCGTCGTCTAGTTACCCTATGGCCTCACGCTATCCCAGGACCGTGAGTGACATGTACATTGACTATACACACACATAGGACAAGCTTCTGAGTTCATGATCTTGCTCAATTCTCACTAACACCCTGCAGGGGAGCAATGATTATGAGCACTGTACAAATGAGGAAAGGAACCCAGAGCAGATATACGGCCTGATCTGGCCGGGCTCGGTGGTTCAGCCTGCAATCCCGCGTCTTGGGAGGCTGAGGTGAGTGGATTGCCTGAGCCCACGGGTTCGAGACCCACCTGGGCAACTTGGTGAGACCTCGTCTCTACAGTAAATCAAAAATAGCCAGGTGTGATAGCGCGTGCCTGTAGTTCCAGCTACTTGGAAAGCTGAGGCGGAAGGATCACTGGAGTCCAGCAGGTCGAGGCTGTGATGGCTGGGAGCAACCACTGCATTCCAGTCTGGGTGACAGAGTGAGACTCCAACTCAAAAAAAATGACCTGATCTTCCCCTAGCCCTGCTCCTTCCCCGGGGCTTCCCATTTCTGTAAGGGACAACTGCATCTTCCTACTTAACTCTGGCCCAAATCTTGGAAGTTATTCATGATTCCTTTTTTTGTTATCACAGGTCACTACCCACATTAGCAAATCCTAGTGGCTTCACTTTTTTTTGTTTTGAGTCAGGGTCACACTCTGTCGCCCAAGCTGAAGTGCATTGGCACAATCACAGCTCATCACAGCCTCAAACTCTTGGGCTCAGGTGATCCTTGTACCTCAGCCTCCCAAGTCACTGGGACTACAGGTGCTGCCACCACACCAGCTAATTTTTTTTTTTTTGTAGGAACGAGACCTTGCTATGTTTCCCAGGTTGGTCTCAAACCCCCTGGACTCAAGCAGTCTTCCCACCTTAGCCTTTCAAGGTATTGGGATTACAGGCGTGAGCCACCATGCCAGGCCCATTTCACTTTTTTTGTTGTTTTTTTGAGTCGTAGTCTCACTGTCAATCAGGCTGCAGTGCAATGGCACTGCATGCTCATGATCACCGCAGCCTCGACATGCTGGGCTCAAGTGATCCTTCCGCCTCAGCCTTCCAGGTAGCTGGAACCACAGGTGTATGCTATCACGCCTGGCTACTATGTCATGTTTTTTTTTTTTTTTTGAGTTGGAGTCTCACTCTGTCACCCAGGCCGGAGTGCAGTGGCATGTTCACAGCCGCCACAATCTCAACATGCTGGGCTCAGTTGATCCTTTTGCCTCAACCTTCCAAGTAGATGGAACCACAGGCATGTGCCACCATACTGATTTTTTTATTTATTGTAGAGACAAGGTCTTGTTATGTTGTTCAGGCTGGTCTCAAACCCCTGAGCTCAGGTAATCCTCTCACCTCCAGCCTCCCAAAGTGCTGAGATTACAGGTGTGAGCAACCGCGCCCGGCCCATTTCACTTTTAATTGACAAATAATAACTCTATATATTTATGGAGTACAAAAGATTTTTTTTTTTTTTGAGTTGGAGTCTCACTCTGTTGCCCAGACTGGAGTGCCGTGGCCGCTCCCGGTCACTGCAGCCTCGCCTACTGGGCTCCAACGATCCTTCCGCCTCAGCCTTCCGGGTAGTCGGAATTACAGGCACACGCTACCACACCCAGCTGATTTTTTGGTTTATTGTAGAGATGAGGTCTCGCTGCCCAGGCAGGTCTCGAACCCGCGGGCTCAGGCAATCCACTCACCTCAGCCTCCCAAAGGCGCAGGATTACAGGCTAAACCACCGAGCCCAGCTAAAGTGATGTCTTAATACCTGTATACATTGTGAAATGTTCAACTCAATGTAATTAGCATATACATCACCTCAAATATTTATAATTTTTTTGTGATAAGAACATTTAAGGCCCAGTGCAGTGGCTCACATCTAGCATCCCGGAACTTTGGGAGGTCGAGGTAAGAGGATTGCCTGAGCCCACAGGTTTGAGACCAGCCTGGGCAACTTGGTGAGACCTCATCTCTACAATA